TCATAGGCATTACCAAGCTCATTTAATGCACAACGTTCATCTTTAGTGAGGTTATCTCACCCCTTAACTGTCCAATCAACTAAGGCCAAGTCTCGCTATACCAGATCGAGAAAGACGCTAATCCATTTATTTTTCCTAAATGGTGGCATTTTAGTAGATTTAATGCAAAGTTCTGCTGATCTAAGGGGAAGTGCACTCAAATCCCCCTCTAGATCATCACTGGAGACATTCTCCTGTAAAAGGGATATCGAGAGTCTGAGTGTCGGTTCCCTGAATAGAGGGATTTAAATTGATATCCTCAATTTTTGTTGGAGTCTGCTGATGCAAATAACTAGGATAAACTTTCCTTAGAAAGAGACTAATGTCTTTAAAAACCTTGAAATGGTTCATAGTATTTACTGGGGAGAAAGATAGACCTTTCTGGAGTAAACTAAGATGTCTATCTTGGAAAACAAACTGAGATAGATTGATAATTTTAAGATCAGATTGAGAAGATATTTGCTGATTAGTTACCATATCTAACAACGTTTCTGACTCCTGGTCTCACGTCCTTGATTTCTGTTGTTTTCTACTTCTTTTCCTTTTCCTCCTTCTGCACCCGCATTTGGGTAGTTGGTTCTGTGTCTCTCTGTGGTTTTGAGAATTCCCCCGATTTCCAACTACCATCTCTTTGTCTAAAAAAGCCACAGATTTAGATTGACCCTCATCACTATCAGATGAATATGTTCGATTAGGGTTGGAGGAGGAGGAACGGAAATGACAATGTCGGGATCTACTGCGATTACGTGTATTAGAAAGATCAAATATTTCACCACGGGCCCAATCATCAAGATCACATTGGAACTTAACCTGTTTTGTAGAGCGAAGATGTCGCTGAGTCTTATCGATCTCCTTTTTAAGGAGATCGTTCAATCGAGTAAAATCTGCTTTATCCTTATATTGTTCCAATGCTTTAGAACTTTCTTCTATCGCATCTTTAAGCTCAGACAACTGGACCTGTTCTTCCTCAACAATCATTTCATAATATTGAGCCCGTGTGTAATACATGTTTCTCTCCATTTGGAAAGAAATCTATCAGTATGTAAATGCTCAGCAGGGATCACCCTCTCTCACAGCCCCCTAGGGATGATGCCACCCTGGATGTAGGATTCCAATGAGGAAATGTCCCATTTGCGATTTAAATACTTAATATTGAGTTTTTTATGATTCTTGAATAAATGTTTAATTGTATCCAATTCAGGGGTGGCCGCATCCCTAGTATGGCTGGAGAAAGTGGAACGAATCTCAGCCTCAATATCCTCACCAACGACATAGGCCATGGAGAAAAAGAAAAAAAAAAAAAAGGAAAAAAAAAAAACAATTATATATATATGTAAATCAATCACCGGGCATGCCACATCCCTGAAAAAATTAAATACAATCCTATTGCTAATTAAAAATAATTATAAATCCACGAAGGGTTAAATGAGGTGACCAGTAATAATAATAAATCCAAAGAAGACACTGCAAATTAAAAATTAATAAACAAAAAATTAAATAAATGGAAAAATGGCCATTGGTATCAACTGGTAGAGTTCAAAGACAGACCAAATAAAAAAAATAAAACACACCAGGATTCCCAAAGCTCAGGGTCAGAAATTACAGATTAAAGATAATGACCCAATTATGAATAATGCTGACTCACATGGATATATATATGTGGTATCCTTGGGACCCTAATCATAAATTGGAAAATAAAAAAAAAGACCAGAGGGTAAAGGACCCAGAGGCCAAAAAGGGGGTCCAAATGAGGACAAACTGCAGCCTTGAAAACCAAATAATAAACAAAAATAATTTAATTTGCAGTATTAAAGTACAAATATCACAAAGATATATATGGCATGATAAGCCAAAATATACAAAAAACTACACAAAAAATTACCTCACCACCACCCAGGGGGAAAGAAAGTCAAAAGCAGAATGGCAAGATCAACCTGGACAACATACTATGAAAAATTGCAACTTGTGACTTTGGACATGATGTAATGACAGTATCCTGTTAATAAATCAGAATACTCAAGGTGATGAAGTTTGAACCCTGGCCACTGACTTAAGGGTGCCAGCAATCCCTCATTGAGTTTTGGAAGAATACACCTAAAATTACAGACAATAAAGGGAATACAAGTGGCCTAGTTACATGTAGAGCATACTGCCAATATGGACTCCCATTACAAAAATTGTGTCATAGTTCTTGTCATCATCTGTATATCTATACAAAAATAATGCATGTCTATGTATGCAATGGGAGTTAGATGAGGGATGTGCAAAAAGAAAGACAAACTCCTAGGATGGGGAGAAAGAAGAAGCAGTCAAGCTTCATGCTCAGCCAGTGCCCTCAAACCTTAAATTTATTTGCCAGAGCTCAAAACATATTTGATGGCATTACTTAAGCAATACCCCACAATCAGTAGTTTTGTATATTACCAGGAGGATCATGTAATAAGGAAGATATAATTTTTATCTTCGCCCAGGGAAAGCATATTTCCATTGCCCATTCTGATATCTGGAGAGAGGTCTTAGCAATAAATAAAAGACAGTTTAGTTTAGACAGTTTAGACAGTTTAGATAGTTCCTAGCAATAAAAGTGTGAGTTGCAATCGAAAAGTGATGCAGTAATCCTTTATAAATGTGTTTAAATGTTTCCAGTATCACAGAGTGCACTGTAATGTAAGGAATGCTAGGGATTGTATCTCCCATGATTCCTTGGTGAATATGAAGAGTTTTGTCCCAGAAAGCTACTATTAGAGGACATGTGCCTCAAATACGGGACATTATACCCTCCACCAAAGAACACTGCCCACATGTATCCTGCTAACAGGTATTTATTTTGTAGATAACAGATCGACAGTAGTACCATCTCAACAGAATGTTATAATTCCACTCCTGTGCTAAGGAAGAGACAAACAGTTTGTGGATGAAAGTGAACCCCTTGTCCCAATCAGCCTCCACTGTGGTGATACCCAACTCTGTCTTTCAGTCAGTTACAATATTCGGCATACGTGATTATTTTACCCTGAGCCGTAGGCCATAAAGTATAGAAACTATATGGTTTGGTTTGGGCATTTGAGTCAGTAATATTGTGAAAGCCATATGAGCTCTAATAAGTAGGGTCATTGATGATAAGGAGTTGAGATAGTGGAATAGCTGGAGAATATTCCATGTGAGGTATGGCATGCAGGGGATAAATGTATGAGTGGAGGGAGTTTGAAAAAGAGAAGAGGAGAACTTTTACTAGGTTCATGTTTTGTATTCTTTCATTTTATGATATAGTGCCATCATGTTGAAAGATAATGGGGCCAAGACCAACATGAGAAAAGAGTCTCTTGTACAAACACTCAGTCTACCCTATCACAAGCTTTGTTAGTGTCCACTGAAAGTAGGCAGGCCTAAATATGGTTTCTGTTGGCATATTCGATTAAAAAGATAAAAGAGAGGCAAAAAGCCATCTAGACCTGAGCTTTTGACTGTCTTTAATGAGGTAATAGTAATTGGCTCTCTGGTGGTGTGGAATGGTAGAAAGAGCAATGTCTTGTATATACACTATATTGCCAGAAGTATCATTGGATTCAGGTGCATCCAAGCCTTACATCACCAAGTGCACTGACTGCATTGTGCCAAGTGTAAAGTTTGGTGGAGGGGGATCATGGTGTGGAGTTGTTTTTCAGGGGTTGGACTTGGCCCCCTAGTTTCAGTGAGGAGACTCTTAAGGCGTCAGCATACCAATACAGTTTGGACAATTTCATGCTCCCAATTTTGTGGGAACAGTTTGGGGATGGCCCCTTCCAGTTCCAACATGACTGTGCACCAGTGCACAAAGCAAGGTTCTTAAAGACATGGATGAGTGAGTTTGGGCTGGAGGAACTTGACTGGCCTTCAAAGAGTCCTTACCTCAACTCTACAGAACACTGATGAATTAGAGCAGAGACTGTGAGCCAGGCCTTCTTGTCTGACATCAGTGCCTGATTTCACAAATGTGCTTCTGGAAGATTGGTCAAACATTTCCATAGACACACTCCTAAACCTTGTCGACAGCCTTCTCAGAAGAGTTGAAGCTGTTATAGCTGGAAAGGGTGGGCCAACTCAATATTGAACTCTACAGACTGAGTGGGATGCCATTAAAGTTCATGTGCATGTAAAGGCAGGCATTCCAATGTATTTGGCAATATAGTAAACATTCTTCTATACCATATAGAATATGTACTGCACTATATAAAACCAAACAATATTAATCATAAAAACCAAAAACAGAAAAAGTCCTTATAAAGTCTTTAAATAAAGAAGTGCTCCAATACATGAATCCAATCTTCCTCCAACACCACTGTGTACTGCCACCAGCAAAGAGAAAATTAAGAAATATTTACCAGACATATGACTGTCTGAGTAAAAGAGTGATATAGCTCTTTTTAACCACTTGCCTACAGGGCACTTGTACCCCCTTCCTGCCCAGGCCAGTTTTCAGCTTTCAGCACTGTCGCACTTTGAATGACAATTGCGCGGTCATGCAATGCTGTACCCATATGACATTTTTATCATTTTTTTGAGACAGATAGAGATTTCTTTTGGTCATATTTAATCACCTCTGGGTTTTTTATTTTTTGCTAAACAAACCAAAACAACTGAAAATTTAAAAAAAAAAGTTTTTTCTTAGTTTGGCACTGATAGGCTGCACTGATGGGCACTGATAGGTGGCACTGATGGGCACTGATGAGGAGGCACAAGTAGGTGGCACTGATGGGCATTGACAGACATCACTGATGGGCACTGAAAGGCAGCAATCATATATGACACTGATAGGCAACACTGATAGGTGGCATTGTTAGGTGGCACTGACTGGCACTGTTAGGTGGCACTGACTGGCACTGTTAGGTGGCACTGACTGGCACAGTTAGGCTGCACTGATAGGCAACACTGATGGACATTGATAGGCGGTACTGATGTGCACTGATAGGTGGCACTGACTGGCACTGACTGGCACTGATATGCGGCACTGATTGGCAGCACTGATAGGTGGCACTGACTGGCATTGATAGGTTTTTCTGACTGGCAATGATAGGTGACACTGAAAGGCAGCTCAGATGAGCACTGATATGTAGCATTGATGCGCACTGGTAGGCACTGATATGTGGCATTGATGAGGCACTGATGGGCACTGGCAGGTGGCATTGATGAGCACTGACAGCTGGCATTGATGGGCACTGACAGGTGGCACTGCTGGGGCTACACTGAGCATCAGGGCACACTGATCAACAGTGCCCTGATGATCAGTGTACATGTCCCCTCTGATGAATGCCGATTACCGGCTCTCCTCTCCTCACGAGCTGTCAGTGACAGCTGGTGAGGAGAGAAATGCCAATTACCTGCATTTCCCTATTTACATGCGATCAGCTGTGATTGGACACAGCTGATCACATGACCAAGCCGACATCTTCGGCTTTTTCCGTTGATCGCTGATCCGCTGTGTCCGAGGGACACAGCACACAACCGATCGCCACGCTGCGCGCTCCCGGAGCAACGCATGCGCGGTTGGAGTGGGAGGATGTCATATGACATCCTCCCAGAACGAGAGAACCACCTTGCACCCGTCATTACCTTATATGGTGGGTGGGAGGCGGTTAAATAAATGCACATCAACCAGCCAGGTATCCAGGTCTCTCACTGCACTTGAGTCATTCACCTCAGGAGGGTACCCCCACATGACTATTTCTCCAACTGTTATACCATATGTGCATATATGTGCTAATAAAATAAGGACCACAGGCTCCACACCACCATTTTGAAAATTTGAGTCATGATTCTGTTATACTGCACATGTGTGAGATGAAGCACATTACATTACGCACCTCATTTCACACATGTGCCTCATCTTGCACAGACACTGTACAACATTACACGCATCTGTTGGAATAAAAGAAAAAGCTTCTCACAAGATCTAAGGTTTTTTTTTAAAGATTGCATTTCCATATGGTGCATGCTCAAGATGAGGTACATGACATAATGCACTTCACCTCACTTTGCAGTATGCATTGTTTCCGACAGTCATGCATGATGTTGCTTTGTGGAATAAGGAGGACCTACAGACATGTTTGCTTCATAAGGGTGAAAAGGCAGAAGACCCACTGCCAAAGGGAGTTTCCTTTCTATAGAGCCAAGCCTATGACAGTTCATGTGTATAACCTTTTTGTGAAGAATGAGGAGATCCGAGCATTCTTGTTGTAATGTTGCAATTTTATGTCTTCTGGTACAAAACTGACAAATGTACTTAGAACTTTTAATGGTCACAGTGGGTTTTTGGTGCAATTTAAGGTTGACCAGCATCCCCCACAGACACTCTCAATAAGAAGTAACCATGGTTACTTGTGGTATCCAAGTCAGCCTTTGTTTTGCAGATCCTGCTTTGGCCATGTGAAGAAGGATTATAATACCCAGCAAGTATGCCAAAACTGTTTCAAAACAGGGCATAAAATGCCAGAATGTCCCAAATGGTGGGAGTATCACATATGTGACAGTGGGGTCCACCTGGCATGACAGTGCCCAAAAAAGGCTCAAGAAAAGCCAGGTGGCTCTGGTGTGATGATGAGGAGGGCAGCGTCAGCAAGACCTTTAAATTTCCTGGGTTTCATATGCTGACATAATGTGGGGTGTTATGCTCAGTGAGAGTGTCCCTGTAGTGGAAATTGCCTCTGTGGAAGCTCCCAGTGAAGCAACAGGGTAAGAGGGGGCTATCTCTCCTACAGAGGACTGTGTCACTGAAACCCTGGTTGTGGAGGGAAAGGAGAAGATGGAAGGCCGTCAGAGTGAGGTGGAGGTAGAGACGGACCAGAGCACATCCCTAAAGTGAATATTTCCTGAGTCTCCTTTTTTAAACATTGAGGAGGGCCTGAGTAGCATGGACCCCTGATGTGCCGAGCTGGAAGAGGTGTCAGAGTCTTCCATCTGATCAGTTGCCAGCTCTGGCCAAATTGAAAACATCCAAGAAATGATAGTATTCCGAAACCTACTAAAATTAAGCAGAGAAAGACTGGAGATGTACGAGAGGCATAAAGGTGAAGGAATCCCCAAGGACAAGCAAGAGGACAAAGTCGAAGGGGAAACTGCCTTGAGAGATGATCTGTTCCCTAATTTGCCCAGTTGAAATCCAGTAGTGAGGCTGAGAGTTTTAAAACCAAATGTGAGAAGCATCTTTTCTGTATATAGAAGGGCCACAGTGTTGAAACTTTTGGCTGCATCCCAGTGTGACATTCTGGTCTTGGAGGATTGAGCCTCTCAGTGGCCATATGGTGCTGCAATTTGAAAGCTTGAAAAAGAATGTAACCAAGGGGCTGACATTTTATTTAAGAGTAAGACATTAAAAATTAAAAATAAAAAATAAATAATGTGAAGTCAGGGAGGTGTGTTTATTTTGAGTATAAGCGTGTGGTGTGGAAAGTTTTTGGGGTGTATGCAAATACGTACAACACATGTATGCAAATAAGCACAAGAGGATGGAGTTGTTTGAGAGGTTAGTTTACTTTTGGGGAGAGTGAACCTATGGTACTGGTGGGGAATTTCGTGATAGGTGTGGTGATGGTGGTGTGTGTGTGTGTGTGTGTGTGGGGGGGGGGGGGGGGACTATGCACTTAAATCAACATTGCACTTTAAAAAGCAAAAACTTTTACAGCTCAGAACCTCACTTGCAGGTGAAGGAACAGTATGTTTTCCTACCACACAACTTTAATCAGCACTCATGCTTGCAAACTGACAATGCACGGATACCAGCTATCTCCTTGTTGCGTTGTTAGCTAAATACCAGCTTCAGGCAGGAGCACATCTCAGCTGCAGGTGGAGGTATTTAAATGTGGGTGCACACTTGTTTTCATTTATTTTGAAAGGCACACAAATGCCCTGTTACAGCAATGTGAATTGCACTCAAGTTGCAGTGTACCACAAGGCACATGCTGTACATTGTGTTAAGGTATGGATCCCGTGCGGTTTTCCTGCCTATGGGCGCACTGCCAATTCAATTCTAAATTATGCGCTGGTTTAATGCTTACCACAAGACACATGCTATGCATTGTGTTGGAATGTGAAGTGCTAAAAAGAAAGGGTCAGGTGTGATCTTCAAAGCTCACTGCCAATCAATTCTAAATTATGTGCTGGTTTATTGCAATGCATTTTAATGCATTGTAACCTGCTGCAATAGTGTAATGCATAGCATGAGTGACGCCTAATGGAACTAAACAAACTACAACACTGCTCATCAGTCACTAAGTTTTGTTTGTGTGTACCTTTAGTTACACTTTTTTTAGCAGCCTAAGTGCCCTCAATTATGGCCTCAGGGAAAGGTCATTTTCTTCCTGGCCAATTCTAACCTCCTATTGGCACATCATGATGACTTGCTGCATTACCTGCCATGTGGGTAGCAGCTGAATCAAGGCTGCTGAGTCAAAAAAGAAAGCAATTACTGCTGGGTTTTTCATGCTCAAGCCTGCTTGTTGTCCATTTTGGAGTGCTATAGCTTAGTAGGTAACCTTAGGTTACTGAAAGCACTACTTCCACTTAATTAATGCCTAGAACCTAGTGGAGAAGTACATGACTTCTAGGAAATTGTAAATTAAACATGCTAGTCTATAAATATTCTTTATTAACAAATAGATACAGTTGCACATAATAAACACAAAGGGAATATCTGCCTGGTATCCCTATAATTGTAAGAGTAGTTGAATTTAAAGCTAAGGATTCTGCTTCCATTCTATTGTTGAAATGCTTACTTAAATAATTTGAAAAAAAGGTAATTTTTGGCCAAAACTTTACCTTTTTGTTTTTGTTATTATTTGAATAGTCTTATCCATAGAAAACATCCAATTTGCTGATGTATGGAGGTTAGGTAGTGCAAAGAATGCAAACTATATTTTAGAACTAAAGTCTATAATACCTCCTATTATAATCTATGATACATCTCTGTGTCAAATGTGTTGCACTTTAACTAATTAAGCCCATTACATTTTTTTTTGTTATGTTTTTGTGTTGATAATTATGCAAGACTGGAGTTGGATACACTCAGAAAATGGGTTTTTCACTGCTTGGAGTAAAAGCAATTTATTTAATCTGTTTTATGCTTTTAATAATTACTATATTGTTGCCATTTCACTACTTAAAATTCATTCTTTTGATAAAACTATTATTTACTGCAGGAAACAAAATTATTTATGCATTGACAATGGCACTTCATCCCATCTTGCAGGCTTCTTCATTAAACACTGAAATGAACATTAACAATTTGTAGGAATATATTTATCATTGAGTTTTATATTTTTTGTGGTTATCCACAAGAAATAAGGTGATCAATATAATGCTTTAAAAATAGAAAAATGGAATAGGGACCCTAATACCAGTTGAAGTATTTATATTTTAAATCTAAAATGAAGCTTTAATTATTGTTGAGACCTTTATAATCAATTTTGAAATATATATATATAATTTTTGCCTAGATGCCTTAATTAGATAAACTTGTTTTTCTTTATTGAAAAACAGTATATTTATTCAGTTGCTTTAATTTTATATATATATATTTTTAAATATTTTCTAATGAGGCTAGAAGTAAAGTATAAAATAAAGAGAGAGGAAAATTACTTAAAATGTAATAATTATCTTTTTATTCTTGGGATCCAAAGTAATCACATAAATAGGGTTATAAAAACATCTATTTGGTGTAGGAAACTCATATGCTCTGGCCTTATTGCCCTATTGGCAATATTTGTGTTTCATTACCTTGCAGATTCATTCTCTGTAAAGGGAATGCATAGTGTTTTCTCATACCGTGTTTACTTTGTTTATTTTTAGGACTAATTTATTTTGTAAAATTAACATAAAATATTTAATATTATTATTATTTAACAATTACTAGTTAACAGTCATCAGGTGCTGCAAATAGGTAATTTCTCCATCCTTGCTAAGTCACTTACTTAAACACCTGTGCAGGTAAGCTAAATGACCTTATTTGGCCTGCTCGCCCACTCAGACCTCTAACTGCTGCTTTATATCTGAAAGTAATTAATTCAGTGGTGGTATTAATACTGCTTCCCAGCATGCCCACCTGCTTATTTCACATAGTAAGTAAACTGGCTGCCATTTTCCGGGTGACATCTTTCTACTGGGAGTTTCCACTGGGAGTAGAATAGAATGTTGTGTTGTCATCAGTGAGTCACTGGGGTATTGCTCATCATGATTCATGATGGGTTTACAGTACATTGCTGTACTACCAGATTGATGATGGATTTACATCATGGGACATTTTCTTTTAATAAAGGACTGGGTATTTTTTAGTGAATTAGTAAAAGGTAATAATATGTATCCCTTACACATTCAACCAGGGTGCTGGGTAATCTGTCCTATTATGTTATACCCAGTACAGAGTTGGCATGGATTTCCACTTTTGTATGGGGGTCACCCTCCAAATTGTTACCAG